ATGATGTAAACTATTTCAGGCACACTGAGAAGAGAATCAAGTGCCAGGCTTCCACCACATTCCACAAACATTACCACAGATCTATTTAGTTCTTAAATCTGGGTTATAAAAAATGTTTTTATTGAATTATGTTTTTATTGAAGTACATTGAAGCACAAAGCTCGAGGGGAGTGATAGATTATTTTCAGTAAATCTCCACCCCTCCTCTATCTTTAAAGTACATTCCCCAAACCCAGATCTTGTGTAATTCTTTGCTTGAACTACCAGTCTTGCTATTCTTCTTGCTAGTTGAAGCTTACTATACTGTCTTGGTTCCTGTAAATACCCACCAGTTCTCTGAAGAAGAAAAGGAAAAAAAGAATCACGGCTTGAAGTGTTTTGTGTGTAATGAGCAGTACAGGGAGAAATCTCTGCTCAATTCTAACCTGAGTGTTAAGGAATGTTATCAGCCTGAGCTAAGATTAGTATTATAAGATAGCACTTGTTTGTCTCAGAAGGACAGTAATGACATAAATGAAAACTTTATCTTTTTTTTAAACAAAACCATACAAAACAGACAGACATGTGAGCTCACACACACACACACACACACACACACACGTATCTTCGACTTACTCAAGACTCACTCAGGCACCTCTCTGCTCGAGATTATCCTAGAGTTTATCCACTCTGCTCATTCCTTAATTCATTCACTGAATAAATATTTATGGGCACATGGTCTGTGGCAGGCACTATCAAAAATAGCATACTGAAAAAGACACAAATTCCTTGTTTCCCCCTGTTCCCTTTTCCATCAAAATTCTCACTTTATTAATGTCTCGCTTAGAAGAGACAGTAATGAAAACAGGCGCACCTGTAGTTCTGACTATGTAACAAAAAGATTTATACCCTCTTCATATTTTGAAATTAAAAAAAACTTAAAAGGAGGGGTACAGGCATAGGGCAGCGTCCAGAGAGGTTAGATTCTGACTTCGGAGCAAAACTCAGAAAGTTTATCACTTCGTAAAAAGCAAGAATGATATAAACACAACTTGCCAGATCTTAGAGTACTAGAACTAGGAGTTTCCTCTTGAGTGTGGAACAATCTAGTTGTAAAGACAAATTAAATAATGTCTCATTCATGCCATCCTAACAGATAATTATACATTTCCCCCAGAAGTGAACTGCATACAAAAAAAAGTATGTGTTTGCATATACATGTGTGTGTGTGTGTTTTAGTCTGTTCTATTGTTGTTTATATTGATAGGACTTTTCTCTTGGAATGTGTAATAACTAAAAATGTAAATATAATACATATATATTATACTTTGTACACTTCAATCTGTTCCAATTATTATTTTTATTGATACTCAAATTGCCCTGAGGAAGCCGCCTCAGGCAGACTCCTGTCCTCTGGCTTAGACCAGAGGTCTGGCTTGACCCCTTCTTTGTTCCCAGCTCATCTTGTACATTCCCTGCCTCCAATCTGAAATCAGCCATTTTCTCAAGAATTCCTGTTTCCTTTTAGAGGGACTTGGTTTGGGGAGACCATAGTCAGGGCTTTAGAGATGCTCCTTTCCCCTGGGGCTGGATTTGTGTGTGTGTGCACCAGTGTATCTTTGAGACAGATTCCTAGAAGTGAGATGACTGGATCAAATGATTAGATAGAAAAGTTTTAATGGAAATTGTTATTTCATTCACTTACTTTCAAGCCCTATGGGAAAACGACATTCTCAACGTTAACCACAACATGATAAAAAAGAAAAAAGGAGGGTAGACTTGACTTACCAGATGTGGGAAGATGCTGTAAAGTGCTAGCAGCTGAAAGAGAGTGGGGTTGCCCAAGAATAAACAGGTAGATCAATAAACCAGAACAGAGAGACTCTGACCAGGAAAGAATAGATTGATCATATAAATGACTGGGGAGAAATTGCTTAGCCAGTGAATAAAAATAAAGGTAGTCTCCACTTCATAGGAAAGGCAAAAGAAAATGGCTGTCAGGATTAAAGAATCTTTTAAAAATAAAAGCGTTAGAGAGAAATATATGAGAATATTTTAATAGCCTTGGGGTGGGGAGACTTTCTAAACTGAGATTTAAGAAGACCTAGGAGGTGAGGATATCTCCAAGGTTTGGGTCTGAGCAAGTAGAATTGCTGCAATGTGGGTGTTCTTTATTGACAAATATCTATCGATTGTGTACTGTTTGGCATGCACTGTTCCAGTCTCTGGGTATGGAGGAATTGAAAAAAGAGACAAAAATACCTCTCTTCAAGGAAGTTCCATTTGGGGAGATGCTGGCCCCCTTTCCCTCTGAGCATCTCTGAGTTGGGTTGCAAAGGGATTATTAAAGTGACGTCCTTCTACCCAGCCCTGGCGTTCACCTCTAGCCCTCACCTCTTCCTCTAAACAGGTGAGGATGGCAGCATTCCAAAAGGTTTTCTGTATTTACATTCAAAGAGACTACAGAATTCCACCAGGAAAAGAAATTGTACATGTAAAAGATAAAATATTTGATCAATTTTTAAAAAATAATTATTGTTCTCATACTAAATATAATTTACTTCTTGAGACCCCCCAATTACCTGATGACAAAAATTTTCATCTAGGACTCAGGGGTGTCCGCCCTGTGGCTTGTGGGCTACATGCTGCTTTTGTGAGGATATTTTTTGCTTATCTGTGGCGTCAGATATCAGGAAAAGTATGTACAGACCTTTTCTTTGCTAATCAGCTTTCTTTAGTGTTTGTGTATTTAATGTGCCCAAGACAACTCTTATTTATCAAAAAAAAAAAAAAAAAATTCTGGACACCCCTGATTCTAGGTGCTTCTAAACAAACTCAAAATCAGAAGTTTCTCAACACTCACTTTTGAAAACCAAGTCATGTTCAGGTTTCTCTCTCTCTCTCTCTCTCTCTTCCTCCCTCTAACTGAGTCTAAATTCTGGTAAAGAAAGGGACGGTCACCTCTCGGCTCAGACCCCTCTCGCCTCTGTGCTTCCATCCTGTTAGATGACAATACCCTCACTGATGCTCATGAAGGTCCTCAGCGGGTCTGCTGGTTAGTTTTGTCGCCTTTGATGCAGCTATATCCTACGGCTTCCAGGATCCCTTCTCATGGTTATTTCTGGAGAGAGAGACATCTCTACCTGGCTTTTGACTCCCAGGGTCCATGATGTCATCTGCCACCAATCCTTATTATTGTAAGACTCCTTCTGAGTCTTAAAATTGTATATCAACTCTCTCTCTCCCACACCTGTCTAGGAATAAAGAAAATTCATCAGGTCCTCTCCCCTTTAATCCCCACATAGCTTTTCTCTATTGTACCATGTCCTTATAATCAAGGCCACTTCTTGCCACCATCCCAAATATCCAAAAGAGGACCCATGGCGCCCTCTGTCTAAAGGGGTGCTTATCAGTCATCTCTTCCCTAACTGGAGAGTTGAGGGCCTCACGGCAACATCTGACATCCTCGGCTCTCCCCCCTTTCCCTCTTCCTTTCTGCAGAGGTTCGTTCCTTGTCTGGAGTGTGGAAAAATTACACCCTTACCAAAAGTTCTTTCCAGATCTTCCTGTCATTCATCAAGAGGGCAGATTTTTAAACTTTAAGAGCCAAGAATGTTGAGGCTGTTGATTGGGCCCCTTGGGGTGTATATTTGCAAGAGGTGTCTTGTAACATCTCGAGTGCTTCTCCATCACACAGACCACTCTCTATGCCTGTATTTCCTTTGGTCCCATCTGCATTATTTTCCTGGATCTTACTTGGTTTTTCAGGAGTAGGGCGAAGTGTTTAGATACCTTTTCTCAAACTGCTTGCTGGGTTTTTAGATGCTTTGTAGAGACATTTTTACTTTAATTTTACTTAAGCTTAACAGCTTTAGCTCACAAACACTAATAAAATTTAGGTAAGAATTATTGCTGCTCTGCTACTGGAGATTGCTTTGTGTAGACATAACTGTTACAGTCTGAGAGTATCTAGTTCTTATAGTGAGTCTGCTCCCTCAAGTGAATCGAGTCGAACATTTTTAAAAATCATAATATCTCCTTTTAACTTTAACAAAACATAGGCTACAATCATCTCTCTTCCTGTCTACATTCTGAAAAACATGGTGTTCCTTAAATTACTGCCTAATACATGAATTCCTTCTAAGAACTGATCAGAAAATATACCCACCCATTTCTACAAAAAGCAGCCACAAATTGAATTGCAACCACTGGTGTTCTTGTGCCTTTACCATTATAAACCATGAAGGACAGTGAATAGAATGTCTTTTTGAAAGGTTCTAATTTTTCCTTCTCTCTAGAGAGAAGAAACAGCATATATCATTGTAAAAATTCTTTCACTTGTCCTGAAGTAATAAAACCCAAGTGTCAGATTTAGTGAATCAGTATTTCCTCATGGAGACAGGACACAACCAAAAATCAGATTTTGTGCTAATATTGAGTGGTCTGTACAAGATGAGGGATCGAATCCATTTGATGATTTTGAAGAGCAATGGAAAAACAAATGTAGGAAGCAAGTCAGCCATTACTGACGTGGAAAAGACACACTGTGTTCAATTCTCTTCTTGTTGGGATTTTAGTGTATGATCATGTGGTGGCTTGGATAGATGGAGGGAGATAGGCAGATGGATAAATATCCTTGGAAATAGATACGTAGGATTCAAATTTGGTTCATATTCTGAGAGCCTAAGAATCAATAAAAATAACAATAAGTGATACTATCAATGACAGTTCATTCCATAAACATTTGCTGCTCTTCATTAGCAAGCTCCACAGTAATGACAATCATGATTATAGTGATGACAATACGATTCTAAATAATTTTGAGGTTCCTTGTGGTTCTGTGAGATCACTGCAGGCTCTAGTCTGCGACTATTTCTATTTTATTCTCAGTGATGAGGCTCATATCCCTCACTGGGGTGACATGCTAATGATCCTCACAAGGACTATCTTACAGTAGAAGGGAAGTGCATAGTAGGGCAACACGGTACAAGCGCATACTAACTTTTCCCGTTTTATTACAGCAAATTCTTCGCCATTCTAGAGAAAACTCAACAAAAGTGATATTTCTCATTACTGATGGATATTCCAACGGGGGAGATCCCAGACCCATTGCAGCGTCACTACGAGATTTTGGAGTGGAGATCTTCACTTTTGGCATATGGCAAGGGAACATTCGAGAACTGAACGACATGGCTTCCACCCCAAAGGAGGAGCACTGCTACCTGCTCCATAGTTTTGAAGAATTTGAGGCGTTAGCTCGCCGGGCATTGCACGAAGGTAATGGCAACCTGATGGTATGACCACGGCACCTGTCCGTGGGATTTCCTTCCCTCTCCGTGCCTGAACCTACTGGAGAGTAATATCAGACCCTCACAAGTTCCTTGCTGAGCGTGATGCCTGGGATTCCTCTGGGTATCACGAAATGTGCTGAACTTTGTAGAGATGACATTCTGACCTTGCAACAAGATCATTTGTTTTCTTTTGCTTCTTACCAGCTGTGATATATTTTGAGTAAAATAGCCATATGCTCCCACCTAGAATCATTAGAATTCGTGGAATGAATTTAGGTGTGTTTCGAGGCCACACACAGAGTCAGAAGCCTTGACTTAGATTTCTTTACAGTTATCTGGACAGAGGAGGGGAAAGTTCAGGGACGTGAACAGTGAATCTCAGCAGAATGTTTCCAGAAATATACATTAATATGGAGGGACAATAAATCCTTAATATATACATCTGACCTAACAACTTCAAGATAAATATGTTTATGTACATGTATAAGCTTAAGAGCATTAGCCCTAAAAGGGAAAAGAAAATCAACAATTTCATTCATCAGGGTATTTTATACATCATTTATAAGGATTTTTAGTTGTATAATTTTAGTGAAATAAACTTCCTGCCAGAACATGGGCATGTACTTTGGTGAACTAGGAGGAAAAAAAGCACAGACTGGGAGGAGATTACAAGAAATCTACCCTCAGATCAAAATGATGTGGCAAATTAGGCTTGATCCTTGCAGGGATTCATGCAAAAGATTCGTTTGTGGGAGGGGCAGGATCATGGCAATATGAGGCTCTAAGCAAGTGGTGATATTCACAATAAATTGGTTCAATCTACTACAGATTCAAGAAAAAAAACTTTACAGCAGAATATCAGGCTATAGTGTGGATACAGGGAAAAGGACTTAACTCCCTGAAGAATGATGTGCCAAAGTCATTGAAGGCTAGGATTTTTGAGAAGTGGGAAGGGACTTAGGGCAGTGGTAAGAAAATAGATGTGGAGAGTAAAGAAATTGGATTCAAGCTCTGGGCCTATAATTTAACAAAGTCTAGTTTTTTGTAAGAGATAAACCTTAAAAATCTAAATGTGAATCCCAGTTTTGCACGTAAGAGCTGAGTAGTTTTGACAAGTATCTATCTTTTGTGCTCCTTGGGTTTTTTGTTATTACTCAGGGAACAGGGAATGAGAGTTAGATTCTTCTTCTTGGGATTGTGACAAGGATGAAGTGGGTTAATACCCATAGAGTGACTGTAACATTACTGATGGCTTATTATGCTAGGGTCTCAATAACTGTCCCGCTGTTACAACTTATTGTTATTAATTAATTAATATTATTCATTTGTAGAGTTATCTTAGGCAATTTATCTAACAACTATGAACTTCAGTTTTTCTCCCTTCAAAATGGAGGGCATAATAGGTAGATTTATTGAAAAATGTAAGCCTCACTAAGTATCATGTCTAGCTCATGGAAGAAGTCCAGCCACTGGGAATACCTGTTTCTCCTTTAGTGCAGGAAGAGTGACATGTTAAGTGGGGAAAAAGGGTGGTTGTGGTTAGTGATGGTGGGGGGACTAGGTGGGATCATGAAGTTATGAGTATTATCAGCTATGTTGTAGAAGACAAATCTCTAGTCCTACCATCTCTCTGTCTCATAGGACTGGGGCCTTCTGCCTTGATGTGAGTCAACCCAGAAGCCAGGTGGGGCAGAGGAAGGAAAAACGTTTGAAGGGAGGGGCCTTCAAGGAAAAAGGCTTTGGTTACTATAATGCAGCAGGGTTTTAGAGGTTATCATACACTAAACTACTATCTAGAATGTGCAATAATTTGACTGAGTTTCTAGGTTTGGTAAGAAGAAACCCTGTTTTTAGTGGAAGACATGATCAGATCAAGGAAAACGAGCCTCATTTCTCCTCTATATTCTCTGAAGCTACTTTCAGTTGGGATGGATCCACTTTTGATCTTAAGACTACCCATGTTTCTGGCCAATCTTAGCAGACATAGGTTACAGAATAATAGCTTTCTCCGGAAGTAACTTCTTTACTTACCTCTCTCCCAGAACTGAATGTAGCACACCAGTCTTGACTGTGAGGTTTTTTATGCTTCCTAACTTGCTCTGCTGCCAAATAAACCCATGGCTCTGAGGAGCTAAGTCCTAGAGGCCTACATTGCAGATCTTTTGCCTACACCACAGTCTGCAGGGGTCCTCAAACTTTTTAAACAGGGGGCCAGTTCACTGTCCTACAGACCATTGGAGGGCCGGACTATGGGCTCAGGACGAGTTGACTTCTAAGCAAGACAGGCAGCGGTAGCAAAAACCCCTGGTGGGCCAGATGAATGTCCTAGGTGGGCTGCATGTGGCCTGTGGGCCATAGTTTGAGGACACCTGGTCTATTGGAAGGAGTTTTAATTGGGTGTTTGTTTATGTTGGTCTTTCTCTTTGAGGACAGAGTCTTCCCTTCACTTTGCCCGGGTAGATGCATAAGGAAAGATGTCCTCTACTTGAGGCCATCACCAATCTCCTTCCCAGGTTCAAATTGCAGCCCATGTATCACGTTGAAACTCAACCACTTGTGTTCCTCTGAGGGGCCCATCACTATAATTGGGCCCAGCCCCATGGACCTAGGACTAGAGTTAGGATAAGACTTCTGAACGCCTTCAACAGAATAAATGAGCTTATGATTTGCCCCATTTCGATCATCCCTTTGGGGCCAGTCCTATTCAACCTTTCTCTGCTCTGTTAAGTTCATATTCTGAACAACTCTGCCTGAGTTGTTGAATTTCCAGCATGTCTCACTTCAGAGCATGGCTCAAGCAAAAAGAATGGTTCTATTTACATAATGTGTTCATTTCTTTGAAATTAAGAGATAAATCAGATACTGGTTTGATTATTTAACATAAGAGGTATTGAATATCTATGTATGGAAGTGCTGGTATGTATCCTAAAGTTGCTAGCTCACAATCAACACCCACTTTCAGTGATCAGGATTATGGTTTAACTTCTAATTTAAACAAGAAGTTTGGAGATCTGGTTGCTGCTTCCTGACCTCATACAGAGGCAGTGAGATACTGCTAGTCTGGAAGCTGGGGGAATGACCTGCCTATCCGACTGCATTGCTTCCTGCTACATCTGGAGATTTCTTGCTAAAGTACTTAATTTCTGCCTGACCCTGTATGGCCTTGAGAACTTCTGATGAGGTCCCAGACTGAAATAACTTAACTGGCTGAAACAAATTCCCAGAGTGTGGTAGTACAAATAACACACACTTGTGTTTGGGTGGGAGGAGGAAGCAGTTGGGAATTAGACGGATATGAAAAGATATTTTCTCTAGCTTGCACTTAAATTTTAATGACTAGCGACTGTAACATTCAACTCTTACTCATTTTTTTTTTTTTTTATTGCTCTCTGTCATGCGTATTGGTAGATCTACCTTCTGGGAGTTTTATTCAAGAGGATATGTCCCACTGCTCCTATCTTTGTGAAGCCGGCAGAGACTGCTGTGACCGAATGGCAAGTTGCAAATGTGGGACACACACAGGCCAGTTTGAGTGCATCTGTGAGAAGGGGTATTACGGAAAAGGTCTGCAATATGAATGCACAGGTGAGCCCTCAGTTTGCGTGTTTATCCGTCATCTGTTGCTTTGTAACAAATGATCCCCAAACTCCATGCAATAAGTGTTTGTTATTACTCGTGAGTGCGTGGGTCCTTGGGGAGCCCTTCTGCTCTCAGCTGTGCTAACTTGTGTATCTGCCATCAGCTGTGAGTTGGGTTGGCTGCTGGCTGATCTCAGCTGGGTTCTCTTCCATGTCTTGGAGTAGCTGACCATAGTCTGATCTAAAATGGCTTTGTCTGGGACAGGAGGCTGTCCTTTATGTGGTCTCTCATACTCTATCAGGGTTGTTCAGGTGGTGATATCAGGGTTTCTTAGGAAAGAATGGAAGTTTTCAAGGTCTCTTGAAGCCTAGATTCTGAACTGGGAGGGGGAAGATTGGGGGTCTTGTATTTGTAATTAGTCTTGTAAAATAGCCAAATCTGTCCTCTAGGCATATAAACCAAATATGTCTCAGTCTCTCTATGACATTGAAGCCAGTGGAATTTTGGTGCCCAAGCTACGTGTAACTTGTGAGATTGTCACCAAAAATGTAACATTCACCTGAGGTTGTTTTTGCTTTTCAGTAGCCTCCCTAAAAGTGTATCAAAAAGTTCTCATAGTGCCACCACTTCAAAGTGAAATTAGAGTGGCTATTAAAAGAACAAAAAATGACAAGTTCTGGCAAGGCTGTGGAGAAAGGAAGATTCTTCCATACGTACACTGTTGGTGGGAATGTGAAATAGTATAGCCATTATGGAAAAGAGTATGGAGGTTCTTTAAAAAACTAAAATTAGAACTCCCACTACTGGGTATATATCCAAAGGAAAGGAGTCAGCACATTGAAGAGCTACCTGAAGCCCCATATTTATTGCAGCACTATTCACAATAGTTAAGATACAAAAACAACCTCAGTTTCCATCAACAGATGGATGGATGAAGAGGATGTGGTATATATATACACAATAGAATACTATTCAGCCATAAGAATGAATGAAATCATGTCATTGCAGCAACATGGATGGAACTGGAGGTTATTATGTTAAGTGAACTAAGCTGAGCACTGAAAGAGAAATAGTATATTTCTCACTCATATGTGGAAACTAAAAAAATGTTGATTTCATAAAAGAGAATAGAATGGTGATGATCAGAGACTAGGTAGGATAGGGGGCAGGAAAGAGGGAGAAGTTGGTTAAAACAGATGTCCCCAATCTTTTTGGCACCAGGGACCAGTTTCATGGAAGATAATCTTTCTGTGGACTAGGGTAGGAGGGGAGGGTGATTTTGACATGTCTGCAAGTAATTGACTTATTATGGTCTCTGTCAAACCTCTCTGTTGATTATAATCTGTATTTGTAGCCACTCCCCAGGGCTAGTATCACTGTATCAGCTCCATTTCAGATCATCAGGCATTAGATTTTCATAAGGAGTGCACAAGTTAGATCCCTCACATGTACAATTTACAGTAGAGTTCGTACTCCTATGAGAATCTAACACTGCTACTGATTGATAGGAGGAGGAAGTCGGGTGGTGATGTAAGAGATGGGGAACAACTGTGAATACTGGTGAGAACTCACTTGCTCACTCCCCTCCCCCCCCAGACTCACTTCCTGCTCTGTGGCCCAATATCTAGCAGGCCACAGACTGATACCAATCCGGGGCCCAGGGGATTGGGACTGCAGAATTAAAAGATACAAAATTAAGAATCTCTGTTTAGTAAATGGTGCTGGGAAAACTGGATAGCCACGTGTAAAAGACTGAAATAGGATCTGTACCTCTCACTGCTTAAAAAAATTAACTTATGATGGATAAAAGACTTAAATCTAAGGCATGAAATTATAAGAATTCTAAAAGAAAATATTGGAAAAACTCATAGAGACATTGGGCTAGGGAAAGAATGTATGAAGAAGACCCCAAAAACAATCACAGCAACAGCAAAAATAAACATATGGGACCTGATAAAATTAAAGTTACTGCATAGCCAAGGACACAGTCAATAGAGTAAATAGACAACTTATGGGATGGGAAAAAATATTTGCATGCTATACATCTGACAAAGGGCTGATAACCAGAATCTACAAAGAACTCAAGAAAATAAGCAAGAAAAAAAATCAAATAATCCATTAAAAAGTGAACAAAAAACATGAACAGAAACTTTACAAATGAAGATAGACTAATGGCCAAAAAACATGAAAAATGCTCGACATTTCTAACCACAGAGAAATCTAAATCAAAGAGATGTCACCTAACGCCAACAAGAATGGCTCCTATTAGTAAGTCCCAAAACACCAGATGCTGGTATGGATTTGGAGAAAATGAAGAATCATACATTGTTGGCAGGACTACAACTACTACAACCTCCATGGAAAGTTAGGATGGGATAACTCAAAGAACTAAAAGCAGACCTATCATTTGATCCAGTAATCCTATCTAGATACTCACCCAAAGGAAAAGAAAGTTATTAATTTTTATTTTTTATTAAAGTATAACTATATACATTTATGGGGTACAATGTGATGATTTGATATACAATATGGAATGCTTACATCAAACTGATTAATATAACCATCACCTCACTTACTTAACAAACTGTGGCATATGTATACTTTGGAATACTATTCAACTTTAAAAGAAGATAGAGGCTTTACATCATCTATGTTTACCTGGATGGAGTTAAAATACATCCTTCTTAGTAAAGTATCTCAAGAATGGAACAAAAACATATCCAGTGTACTCAATATTATTATGAAACCAAGATAAAGTCACTTATACTCTTTTATGAATGATAAAACACAAATACAGTCTAACAAGGGGGAAGGAGGAGGGCAAGGAGGGAGGAGAAGGGAGAAGGTAAAAAAAAGTTATTTTTTAAAAAAGATACTTGTGCCTCAGTGCCTTTAGCTCAGAGGCTAGGGCGCCAGCCACATACACTGATGCTGGTGGGTTCAAACCCTGCCCAGACCTGCCGAACAACAATAACAACTGCAACAAAAAAAATAGCCAAGTATTGTGGTGGTCACCAGTAGTCCCAGCTACTTGGGAGGCTGAGGCAAGAGAATCATTTAAACTCAAGAGTTTGAGTTTGCTGTGAGCTGTGATGCCACAGCACTCTACTAAGGATGACACAGTGAGACTCTGTCTCAATAAAAAAAAAAGACACTTGCACTTGAATGTTTTTAGTAGCACAATTCACAATTGCAAACATGTGGAAACAACCCAAGTGCCCATCAATACATGAATGGATTAATAAAATGTGGTACACATACACCATGGGATGGTGTGGAAAAAACGGAGGTCTAGAATCTTTTGTAACAACCCGATGGGACCAGAAACCTTTGTTCTAAGTGAAGAATCGCAAGAATAGAAAAATAAACACCCTATGTACTCAATACTAAATTGAAATTAATCTATCAACACTTACGTGCACATGTGGAAGTAAAACTGAATGGGAATAAAGTGGGGGAGAGGGAGAGGAGGGGTTGGATCAGTTCACACCTGGCTGGTACAATGCACACATTCTGTGTGAAGGGCACATTTATAACTTTAACTTAAAAAGTACAAAAGCAAATTCTGTGACCAAAAATGTGACTAACCCTGTAATCTTCTGAAATAAAAAAGACAAGATACAAAATTATCACTGGATGGGGGAATTAAGTTCCATAGCACTGTAGGCTGAGTATAAGTAGCAGTAATTTATTATATATTTTCAAATAACTAGAAGAGAGGATTTTGAATGTTCCCAACAAAAAGAAATGATAAATGTTTGAGGTTATAGGTATGCTAATTATTCTAATTTGATCATTACACATTATATACATATTTCAAAACATGTACCCTATATATGTACAATTATATGTCAATTAAAAACAACAATAATAAATGGAATTTATTTCATCCACATTTGTAGTTGGGTTTTTTGGGGGTTTTTTTGCAAGTATACCTTTATATGTTTATATCTTATCAGAGAGGCAAAAAGAGAATCTTAGTATTCTTGTGTTCCACATTACATTTTAGGAAAATCTGTTTAGAAGTAGTATGTGGTTGCTCTAGGTTGGAAGGCATTTTATTTGTTCTGTTTTTACCTAAAAAGCAACATTTGTTTTTATGGCTTAAAGCTCTTCCGTGATTTGCTGTTTTGGAAAACTGTATTCCCATGGAAATTAACCCCAGCAGGAGAATTTGGGAGCAGTAGGTTTGCTGTGTTCTGTACTCTGTGATTATTCATTGGCTGTTTTATGCGAACGTCATTTTATCCTGGCCTTTGGCAGATGGGCCCGCTCTGCGACACAGAAATGTGGCTCTTCCTTCTCTATCAACTTGTGTTCTCCCTTCTTTTCTTTCTTCTGTCCTCCTCCTGGTGGGACCTTTCCTCTTGTGCCATTCTTTCACTCTCTTTTATTCCTATACCCTCCCCTTAGTTCCCCTGCCTCCCCTGCCCTGACCCCAGCTGGCAGACCATCCTTCCTGGGTCCAACCATCCATACTCACCCAGAAGAATCACTCCTTTCTCAGCGCTGCTTCCACCCCACCAGCAGGATTTCTCACTTCAGCAGAAAAAGGGAGGGGTGGGGGAATAAGCCCAACTGCCTCTGAGTTGGCAAAGTGCCCCCCCTTGTTTTTCCTCCCCTTGAATCTTCCCACACTCTCATCAACAGCCCAGCTTGGCATGCTCCCCAACCTCCCCCTTACACTCCTCCGTCCCAGCCCACCAAACCCAGGCAGAAGAGCTCATTTTCTTTGCTGGAAGCTGTAGTCAGCATGTCTGCTTTCCGTGTGGTCCTAGACTGGACTGCTCCCTGCCAAGAAGCCACTGCCGTGTGGCTGCCTACAGCCTCAGCCACTGTGTGCTGTGGTTCTCGCTGGCTCCAGGACACTAGAATCTTGCATCCCAGGGGATAAGCTTCGAGAAGAAAGAGGGGGCGGTTCACAAACCCACTGTCCCCAACTACCCAAGTTGCTTTGGCTGCTACCAGTAGCACATTCCAGGCTTAAAGGCAAAGCAATCCATAAA